ATTCAACCAAGAATACTTCAAGGAGTATTTATCAAAGACTGGAGAGGGACAAATGGCCGTTCTAGGTGCTATGGCGCAGCATATATCCAGGGAATTCTTATCTTCCGTGACGCACATTATGAAAGGGGTGAGCTGTACAGTAGAATATCTGCATGGAAGGTGATTGTACTAAAAGAAAAAAACAAAAGGCAACCCTGTGCAGAATGCAAATTAAATGAATGGATAAGTCCGCCATTCCACGACCACGGCCAGACGAAACAAAATTGCCAGACTACCATTACAAAGATCTAGACATGTTTGAGTCTCCCAGTGGTACGGATGCCTGCCATCACCCTCCTGATGACTGGCAGCCACTTCATAATATCAAAAACTGTTTTGATGATGGAACTTTACTAGGTGATGACGATGCAATCTCCTCTTTTTCTACAATATTTATTGTGGAAAAGGAACTAATTAAAGACCATTTACAGCATCTAACTACATTAGAGAGGGAAAAAAAACATGCGCACAAAGGACAGGTTGAAGAAACGCAAGCAGAGACAACAGAAATGCTTCGAGGACTATGATTGGAACACCCTTTGTCGCACAGGTAAAGTTCAGCAATACATTCAGGAGCTCGAAAAGTATCTCAGTCATTCCAACCCTCCATTAAAAGGCAAGAAATATGATAAGGTACGACGGGTCACGGCACATGCATTGATCAGAATGGGTAAGGGTGATACCCATGTTTCTCTGCAGCGGCACGAAGTACTGCAAGTTGATATCAGTGACAATGATATGGACAACTGTTCTGATGCGGAAAGTGACAGCCAAGATGATGTCGTTACTTCGTATTTTTGTAGCTCTGATTCTAATCGGAAAGCGAGCGTGATTCAAGGGAGACGAACAGTGGAAGAGTACCTGTTGTGGCACAGGTCTCTGGCCAAACCAGATCTGGGTGATATTGTGAGGTCGTTCTCACACTATCGTGACTTTTTCTTGTACTAGTTTAGCCATGTAAGTGGACTGTTTGGAAGTGTTCACTGGCGTTCTCTATGTGAGTAAAGGAAATTTATACCTCCCCCTCCTATAGCCTACTTTCTTGGTGAACCCCCCTCTTTATTCCTAAATTTTTGGATGCCCCTTCTCCCTTCCCCCTCTTCTTTTTTGCCAGCCCCCCAGGCATAAATAATGAATGGTCCCTAAGATTGTTAAAACTGTGGATAACCTCAGGGTCGAAGTTTTTTTCAGTAAACAAAAACTGTCTTCCTCTCTACTTGTACACTGTTGTAAGCGACCGTCACCCCCCGGATTTCTGTTGCCCCACCTCAAATACGCTAATTCTTAGATTTGGTTTATTTACACTACAAAAATCATGAGATTAGTTTTTTCCGCATTCAAGTTGGGCTTGTTTCGTGTTAAATTTCAATTTTCTCAAATTTAACCGAAATTTCATTCAAAATGGCTGCGGGAAAAACAAAAAGCATCAATGAAATCGACGACATAGGGGAGATGTTTGAGGCGATGGCGGTGCTTGACATTTCTTCGAAAGGGTTGCAAACGCTGCAAGATATGAAAGATCGAGTAAAAACTACAATAGACCAGTTCAATTTCAATTCAATTTTATTAGTCACACTTTATAAAATATTATCATTATAGCTGGAGTGCAGGACAGGTAAGAATGCTATTCCTCATTTCACTTTGTCATTTGCGCGTTGTACTGTTTGACATGGGCAAAATATTTTGCATCATTCGCTTGCATTGTTCGTATAATTGAGGCTTCAGAATTAACTACGAGTACGAAATCGCGTACGAGTACGACTTAGGAATTTATAGCTTCTTGATTCACTACAGTACTTGTTAGAGATAGTATTGATGTGATAACTACAAGTAATTATATGAGATACATGAGTTTCACTGAGCGATTTGAAGACTATTACTCGTGCTCGATCTCCTCGGTACTCGTTGTCCAATCTAAAGAACATACTAGTTATTCCTGGCCGATTGTGAAAGGAAACTTAGTTTCTGTTGATTCGTTACTTGTGTAGCTGAATATCCTTTATCATATACATGACTGCGAAATTGTAGCTTATATCAGTAGGGAGAAGGACAGTACTGGCTGACATTTGCTTTAGCCGTCTGTTCCCCTGCAAGCCGATTAACATCCTTGTTGCGGACTTAGCTTTTGCCCATACATTTTTTTTGTGAAGAACTAGACCAGTGTGCGTAGAACTAATACCGTAAAATTCCTAAAATAAACCCCGGGGCTTATATTTTTCAAAGGCCCTTTTTGAGGGGCTTATTTTTGGAGGGGCATATATTCGGAGGGGCTTATCTACGGAGGGAAATTTGCGTTTCAAAATCGATTGGGCTAGCCATATAGTTGGAAGTAAATTTACCGATTTTCCTTTGTTATACTTTGTATTTGAGGGCAATGTTCCAAGTACAAGCCCTCGGGGGGGGCTTATATTTGGAGGGGCGATTTAACGAAGGGTTTTTTGCGTTACCAGTTTGGGGGGCT